GACCCAATGAATCCAACTCATGTCTCCTGCATTGCAGGCAGGTTCTTTTCAGTACCACCTGGGAAGTCCCAGGAACAAGGGAACAGGACTTCAACTTCTAGGTCTGGGAGGGCACGACTCACCCCTCACAGTCAGCTCCATGGAGAGAGGGAAGTGTAACCAGGGAGAAATGAAAACAGGAGAAGGGGATTCACCTGTGCCCCAGTTTCTAGAACTCCTCGCCTTCCCCATCTCCCGGTCCCCGGACACCACGCTCCAACCTTTTCTGCCTGAGCCTGATGGTTGTCTCAGGCCCAGAGGCCCTTCCTTCTGGCTCCGAGCAGAGCACGGACCAGTGTGGCCACATGGTGCGCGGCTCCCAGTGCCCAACGCAGTGTGGCCCCGGGGGCTCCTCTCAGGCCACGGCCTGCCCCTCGCTTTTCTGTCACTCTGTCCCCACGTGTTTGCAGGTGCCTGGCCTCATTTCATGTGGGTCAGGCCCCTGGAACACTCTGCCCCTTCTCCTGCCCAGCCCCTCCCAACTAATTAACACCATTCACCCTGAAGACCTCAACTCAAATGCCTTGGCCTCAAGAAGCTTGTGAATACACACACACACCCACCCACACACACACACACAAACACATCCCTCACCCTAAACCAGGCCCCTGCCCATCCTCTCTCCATCTCTCTCTCTCTCTCTCACACGCATACACCCTCATGCTAAACCTGCCCCTCATCCATCCTCTCCCCAGCTCCCTGCCTAACACTGAGCACCTGGGATGACCTAGCTGCACTGCTCACACACTATCAAAAGTGTGTCTCCCCACCAGATTGACACGCAAGTTCCTAAGCAGAATCTGCATCTAGTTTGCCCAGTTCTATCTATTCAGCAGCTAGGGCAATGCTTGGCACCTAGTTAAGTGCTTGATCAATATTTGCCAGATAAAGGAAAGACTACATGAAATACAAGGTAGTGCCAACCAGGGGTCATGTGATCAATGCTGCTGAATATGCTCACATTGAGGGAGCAGCAGTGTGAAGCTGTTATGTAACAACACCTAGACAGACGGACACGGGCACAGGCGTCAGCTACGGAACCAGTGGAGCCACACTCGGAAAGCAGAAATCTATTCCATTAGTCATAATTCTACAGGAACCACTCACACATGCTGTCCATGTCTGACTGTGCATATACTTACATATGCAAAACCTATCTTCAGTAGGTGTTTTTCAGTCCATGGAAACAGTTATCTACAGTCACCCCCATCCTGCACCTCATTCCCCTGGTCACCTTTGGCTCTTGGATCACAGGAATTCTTTACGTGAAGTAAAGAGCTGCCAGCTCCCTGTGGTGACATCGACCCAACACTTTTCCATTTGATCGTTCATATGAGACAAAGGTCCATCTAGTCAAAACTATGATTTTTCCAATAGTCATGCATGGATGTGAGAGTTGGACCATAAAGAAGGCTGAGCCCCGAAGAATTGATGCTTTTGAGCTACAGTGTTGGAGAAGACTCTTGAGAGTTCCTTGGACTGCAGGGAGATCCAACCAGTCAATCCTAAAGGAAATCAGTCCTGGATATTCATTGGAAGGACAAATGCTGAACTGAAGCTCCAATACTTGGCCACCTGAGGTGAAGAGCCGACTCACTGGAAAAGATCATGAATGCTGGGAAAGACTGAAGGCAGGAGGAGAAGGGGCAACAAAGGATGAGGTAGTTAGATCAGAGAGCATCACCGACTCAATGGAATGAGTTTGAGCAAACTCTGGGAGACAGTGCAGGACGGGGAAGCCTGGTGTGCTGCAGTCCATCAGGTCACAAAGAGCTGGACACAACTCAGTGACTGAACGACAACAAAATGTGGCAAGAAGGGCTTCCCAGGTGGCACAGTGGGTAGAGAACCTGCCTGCCAATGCAGGAGAAACAGGAGACTTGGGTTCAATTCCTGGTCAGGAAGACCTCCTGGAGGAGGGCACAGCAACCTACTCCAGTATTCTTGCCTGGAGAATTCCACGGACAAAGGAGCCTGGCAGGCAGCAGAGTTGGACACAACTGAAGCGACAGCACACGCACACAAGAGGCAAAAAACACTAAAATTCCGGGAACAGGATGTGTGTCATATGTCAGAAATGTTCATATCTGCTGATAACAGCCAGTCTCCCTGAGACACTCGCGCGAGAGAGCCACATGGCCACGATCTCACGGAACGAGGAACAGATTTGCTCTTGTTCAGTCCCTCAGTCTCGTTCGACTCTTTGCAACTCCGTGGACTGCAGCAAGCCAGGCTTCCCTGAAGACTTCCTTCACCATCTCCTGGAGTCTGCTCAAACCCATGTCCATCGAGTCAGCGATGCCATCCAACCATCTCATCCTCTGTTGCCCCCGTCTCTTCCCACTCTCAATCTTTCCCAGCACCAGGGTCTTTTCCAATGAGCCAGTTCTTCACAGGATCATAACCAATAACCAAACAGCATAACACGTGCTATCAGCACCAGCTTCCGCCACGGTGGGTACAGGCTCTCACATCCCCTGGCTGGTGTCGGAACAGCTAAGGATCTGGGATTCTCTCACCTCAGGGGACACCCCAGGGGCTGGTGGACAACTCCAAGGCTCTCACTTTTAAAAGCAGCATTTCCTAGTTTGGGGTTAGCAGATGCAAACTAGTATATACAGGATGGATAAACACTAGGCCCTACTGAAGAGCAAGGAAATATAGTCAAGAAGCTGGGATAAACCATCATGGAAAAGATTAGGAAAAGAAGGTATGTATAACTGAATCACTTTGTTAAATAAATTTTTTAAAAGAAAAAAGAAATAAAGGAACGTTTTCTGAAATGTATTTATCTTTTAGGTGCTGGTGCTGTTTCTGCATATCTGGTTATTTTGAATATTTCAAAGTAAAAGGTACCAGTAACTGCTAATGAGAAATTATTTTAGACTAGGTGGGGGAAAAGTTCTTTTTATAAGAACTGCAGCATCTGCATCCACCCACATTACCGAACAACTTCATTTCTTTGTTATTTTGTCCTCCACTCTCAGTGCCATGTCCCCCCATCCCCCGCCAAGTAACAGACATCACCTTCTATTTTTAATGGCCTCAACTACCTTATCCAAGTTTTAAGGCTCAAGCTCAGCTGAGCTTCTTGGCGAGTAATTTTTCTTATGCTAAAGAAGAAACACAAAGTAAATTAGGAAAACCATAATCAGTCAGAATAATAATACTGACACCATCAAAACCTCAAAATAACGTATCTAAGAAAAGTGTCGGTTAATTTTGGGAGATTAGCAGCTCAAATAAATGAACATTCCAGCATCACGCTGTCAGTTTCTAAGTAAGAAAAAAACAAAACCTTAGAATTCAAAGGACACCAAGTTGAATGCTGAGCCCTTGTCTTAAATTTCTTTTTATCAGTAATCAAACATTCACCACATTCCTCACAACAGGTAAGGCAACCTGTCAACTGATGAGACGCTTCTATTCACAGCCAGAAGCTATGACTCTCCAGCATAATTAACAAGGAAACAAAATCCTTCCAAGAAGCAAATCCAATCCCTAGTTAAGAGAAGCAGACCTGGGTCAGATGTCTCAGAAACGACCAATTTGATCAGAGGTTCTGAGCTTGAAATATTCATGAGTCCATGAATGTTAATCGTGTAAACTCCATTTAAAAAAAAACCAAAATCTAAGAAAACCCTATAAGCAATTTCATAACTAGGGGGCTTCAGATATGCAAAGAAAACCTCCAAAACACAAAGTTCTCACTGTCTTAAAAAAATAGTAAATGTGACTTAAAAGAAATCTGATAACCTGAGGATAAAACTGTTTTCCAGCGATTAAAGTACACACTTTCTGTACTTACCATCTAGTGATGCAAACACACAATTAGTAAGAGACCGGCTTGAGAAGGAAGGAGAGGAATGGTAGAAAGGCAGTCCGTCTGTTATGGCTCCCATGGAGCCACACCTGTGAGTTGACACTATTTAACAATATCCCAAAGGTCACTCCTACATTACATAAAAAAGTCAGTTCTGTGTATTTACTGTGAGTACGTGACAAAAATATTCTCATCCAGATTAACTGTTCTTTAAAACTGCATTTTCTCAATTTGGCCAATCATTAAAATCATTTCTTCCAGGATAAAAAAAACCAAAAAACAGATTTGCTTTAAATGTCCAGAACTACTTTTGAGGTTTACAAAAATGAGAAAAGCATGTTTCATTAGGATGTCATCACCTGCAACATAATCCAGACTTCTTCAAAATATCTTACCTTCTAGAAATTTCTGTTGTGGTAACTGTCGAGATACTTAGCTACACTTGAAATTATTTCAGCCAAAACCCAAAACCCCAGAAAAATCTTTCTGATGGAAACATTTTGTTTCAATCCCTATAAAAGTCAACATAAAGCTAGATTCTCTGCTGTTTTAGCATGGCTCTCAATGACAATCTGTTGCTACAGCAACAAAACTCTGCTACCTGTGGCCATGATTTGTTAAAAATTCCTCCAACCAGAAAATTCTGTGCTGTGCATTCATAAAACCCATAGAATGGCTCCAAGCCACATAAAAATTAAAGCTCAATTTCCCACTTATGACCTACCCACACACCTATTTATAATATGCATACACATATGCACACATACATGCATAATTATGACTCTTCCAATGCCATCAAAAAGGTAAAACCACAACAAATTTCCACTTTACATTTGGCATAAAAAACTGCTGTGTTTTAGATTTCATTGAATAATTGCTACTGTTTCTCAAAATTTATCTTAAAAGGCCATAGAGGCCCACCATCCAGGAGAGAATTCTAAAAACAAAACCATTTATTATTTATATCCAATCTCATTCCAAAAAAGAAAAAAAACAATTCCTGACACATAATTTCCTATCTGTTCCAATGATGTGGCTCCTTCAGCCATGAGTTGATGTAGAAAACACCCAAAGAATAAAGAAGACATGCGAACATCTGCTCGGAACAACCACCGCACTGCCTCCGCAGGCTACTCACCCTCACCGGGGGGCTCCAGGCTTGCGCCCGCGGCTGGGGGCCACCCTGTGAGCTCGGGCCATCTTTGGGGCTGCAGGTGGCCACAGCACTGCTCTGAGCCTTCAAGGCGCTGGTGCAGTTGGTGCCACTGCCCCCCACAGGGCCGGGCTTCCACGGCCGCTGCTTGATGCCGTCCAGAAGTCTGACCAGCAGGATGTTGCTTGGAAGCTGCTCCACACCCGAGCCAACCAGAGTCCGGCACTCGGGACATCTGAGTTCATTCCGGGAACCGACGATGCCCAGCAAACAGCGTTTACAGAACGTGTGCTGGCAAGGTAAGACCTTGGCAGAGGCATCCAGCCGCTCCAGGCACACAGGGCACTCCAGCAGATCCAGCAGGGCCGACTCATCCATCTTCCTCTAGTTCACCCAGGGAAACGCAGCAGTGACACGCATACTTGTGTGCAGCTCTCAAAAGTGGCTCATGTAACATCCATGTCAGACGCTGCTCCGGGGCCCCCAGGGAAGAGGAGGGAAAGACAGAGAAGGAGTACCATCACTGGGGGGTAAAGGCACAAAGAAGAGCCAGGACCCAACAGCACACGGAAGTGCTTCCTGAGAGAACCAAGCTTCGCTTTGGAATACATGGTGCCTGAATTCCAGAGTCAACAACTGGAAACAAAATAGGCTTTTTAAGCAGTTCACAATAAATCCGTGAAGACACCTAGTTCACTGTGCAGGAACAGCTATCAAGTACCACAGGGGACTCTTACCATAAACAGGATTTATGAAAGGCAACAGAAACATAATTTCTCTGGCTCTCAAAATGAAACCTGAGGCCTTAACTAAGTCCTTAACTTATCTGAGAAGGTGAAAGTGGCAAATGAACTGTTTCCTCCACCTGAAATTCCTTTTAAATCCAATCAAGTTCCCCAGCATTCAAGCCACTTGAGTGGTTCGCTTGTGGCAAATGATCCCAGTATTAAATACATATGTTTCTTCGCTGGTCTTAAAAATAGAATTGTTTAATCTTGCCCAAGGAAAACGAGATGAAGGCTGACAATTCTAAAGGACACATTGAAGATGGGCCTAAAAGCAGCTCAGATATAAACGTACCACCCTTCATGGCAGCGGCTGACAAACTCGGAAGCGATTTCTGAACGGCCTGTGCTAATCCCATTCAGAAAATCTGGCAAAATTATCACCCAAAGAATTTGAGAATGGAATGCTGGACTGGGAACCGCGAGCAGAATATGAAAATGGGGCCATTCAGGCAAAAGCATTCAGAAAAGAGCCTGCACTGCTCTCCTCGACCCCTGGTTCAGTGTAGGCGTGCCCAGGAGAGCCAGGTGACGGTGTGGATGCGGGCGGGGAACTGGCCGTCGCTCCGGTCGCCGCAGGTACTGCGGGCCCGCGTGGACGCCGGGCCAGGTGCCCGCGCCGCCAGTGTAGACGCTCCCGCGACCAGAGGCAGGGGGCCGCCCTTGCAGACGCCGCGACCAGGTGCCCAGGGCGGCCCTCGTCGACGCCCGGGGCCAGGTGCTAGGGCCGCCCGCGTAGACGCGCCCCGGGGCTGCTGCTAGGGCCGCCCGCGTAGACATCCCGGGGCCAAGTGCCGGGAGCCGCCCGTGTAGACGCGCCCCGGGGCTGCTGCAGGGGGCCGCCCGCTCAGACCTCGCGCCCCGGCCAGCGGCCGGGAAGGCAGGGCCGGGCCGGGTGGGTCCACCCGCCGCCTAGCCGCCGCGCCGGGCCTGGCCGGACAGGAGTCCCGCGTCCTCGGGAAGTTTCGGGTCTCAGGAGCGCCCGCAGCGCCGCGTCGCCAGGTCCGACCGCCGGGCGTCCAGGCTCCCGCCGCCGCAGTGCCCGGGGCCGGCCGGCCGACCCCCTCCAACCCAGCCCGGGGAGCGCGGGGCTCGGGGCCGGGGGTTCGGGGCGGGGGGTCCTACCTCAGCGCGGCGCCCTCTTTGTCCGCACGCCCCGCGCTCTCCGGCTCGCCCGCCTCGGACGCCGGGCAGCTCTGGGCTCCGCTCTTCGCCCGCGCGCTCCCGCCGCCGCCGCCTGCCTGGCCCGGGGAGGGGGAGGGGAGGGGGCGGGGCCAGGCGGGAGGAGGAGGAGCGCTGAAGGGGAGGGGCGGGGCCGGGCGGGAAGGGGAGGGGAGGGGCGGGACCGGGAAGGAGGAGGCGGGAGATGGGCGGGGCCTGGAGGGAGGGGCCGGGCGGGAAGGGGAGGTGCGCGGGATGGGGGGCGGGGCCGGGAAGGAGGAAGGGGGAGGGGAGGGGAGGGAAGTGGAAAGAGGAGGGAGAGGGAGGGGAAAAGAGGAGGGAGAGGGAGGAGATGCAGGGAAGGAAGGAGGAGGGGCAGGGAAGGAGGGAGGAGGGGCAAGGAGCACCGCCCGCCCTCCTCGGGCGAGGGGGCCCTGCCGGGGGCCCGGGGCCGGGGCGGGTCCCGGGAAGGGCCGGGGAGGGGACCCAAGCGGCAGCCGCAGAGGCTGGGAGAGAGGTCTAGGGGGGACGCGCTGGCCGCAGAGGAGGCGCGGGCGCCGCTGGGTTCCTGGACACAGACCCTACCGCGAGCATTGGGACCGGGCCAGGACCCGGAAAGCGGGGCGGGCAGGAAGCCCAGCCCCGGACCCGCGGTCAGCCTGGCCGGAACCAGCCCCGAGGCCTCTGCCTACCTTCGCTCCCCCCACCCCCGCACACACCTGTAACGCCAGACACACACCTGTTAACCGAAAGGTCCTTTGGAAAAACGTCGTCCACAGGCGTGGGGGGGTTGTTTCTCATACTCAGTTTAGAAGGAAGACAAGTTAAAATTTTGTCATTGATCTCAAAATTGTCATTTTATTTGCATTACCGTCCACTCAACAAACGTTTTTCCCAACTACCCTTCCTGAAAGGTGTGCAGAATATAAGGAGAAGCGGGGACACGCACTCCTTTGCGAGAAACCGCTGCCTGCCCTTCACCCAGCCCAACCCTCTGAAGGGAGTGGATGGTCCTCTAAGGTCCGGCTGGGGCCACGGAAAAGCACTGCAGACAAATGAGAACCACCCGAGTAAGGACACGCTGTGACCCTGCAGTCACCGCTCTCTCACTGACTGCGGTCACTGCTGGACGTTTGAGATGCGGCCAAGTCCTCACTGCTGCCCTGTCCATTCCCTCCGCGTGTGTGTTAATCGCTCAGTCGTGTCTGACTCTGCGATCCCAGGGACTGTGGCCCACCAGGCTCCTCTGTCCATAGGATTCTCCAGGCAAGAATCCTGGAGTGGGTAGCCATGGATGGAACCGAGGGATGGAACCCACTTCTCCTACAGTGCAGGCAGGTTTCTTACCATCTGAGCCACCGGGGAAGCCCGCTCTCTCATTAGCTTTGCGCTGACGGTTAAATATGCGGACAGTCTACTGCATGGATGCCAGGAAGGACAGGCCACTTGCCCCCCATTAGAAGGGAGTGAATACACATACAGAAGATGGATAAACGAGGTCCTGCGGTACAGCACAGGGAACTGTGTTTGGTATTCTGCGATAAACCACCATGGAAAAGACAATTAAAAAGGGTGTCTGTGTGTGTGTAACAGAATCACTTTGCTGTACGCAGGAATTAACACACCACTGTAAATCACCCATACTTAAGTCTTAAACTATTGATTAAAACAAGAAGTGAGCAACGTCAAAGGTGATGAAAGATGCGCAGAGAGGCAAAATCAAGCAGCAGAATGAGGGAGCTATGGAAATGATTTGGGTTTGAGCATTGCTGATTTCAAAGCAAAGTAACTTATTTCAAGTTGTTCATAACACACTGAATTGTAAAATGTAGATACTATTTGCAAATGTTTCATTTTTTTTTTATAGTTTAAAACTTATATTTATCACTTGTCTTAAATGACAGGCTTATGAAATCAGAGAGAAAAACCCACTTTTACCCATAAATGCTGCGTCACTCTTCCAAAAGCAGGAGGCATTGCTGCTCTGCATGATGACAGGAGACTATGGGGTGCCCCCCAAGGGACCCCTGCTGAGCTTCATGCTGGCAAACTTAGCTCCTAGAATGTGTATTTATCTGACAAATGAATGTAAACCTTAATAAGAAAAAGAATAACTACCAAGTTTGGAACGGTAAAAGCATCTGCATGTAATAAAAAATGAAGTGAACAAATATATACCTGCATTTGAGTTGAGAAAGACAAGGGGGTACATGATCAGAACAGAGCAGTTTTAAACCACTAATCCACCAAGTCACCCTGAAAGTGACTACTTAGTCTATCAACTTCTGCATCTGCAACAAGGTGGGTGAAGGGAAGGCTGATTGGACAGTTACAGTCAGTAAGTAGGTAAATATTATATGTCATTTATGGTTATTAAAACCAAAACTCAAACAGGTTCACTCACTACAGCTAGCCACTTTGGACTGAGACTCAACCTCATGTCCGGATTCCAAGTCCAGTTTCTTCCTGTGGTCCCAAGGATGTCTCTCGAAGGTCACCTCAGGCACACCTGAGCGTGCTGTGTGACCTACAAGGGAAAGCTGACACTTAACCAGGTAATGACTCTGGAGGCCAAAGGACAATTATGTTTTATTTTATTCTTATTTTAGTTACTTGTTTGTATTTAGGGTCTTGGAGGAGGGCATGGCAACCCACTCCAGTGTTCTTGCCTGGAGAATCCCATGGACAGAGGAGCCTGGCAGGCTACAGTCCATGGGGTCGCAAAGAGGTGGACAGGACTTAGTGACTGAAAAACAGCAACCCATTATGAATGACCTGGAGATTGTCTGGGATACAGGGATGAAAGATGTTCACACAATTCCAAAAGTGTCACCTGGGATATGGCTCAGTTCTTTCAATATCCCTTCTGCTCATTCACTCTGTTTTTTAGAACACAATTCTTTCATTAGTTTGAATTACTCCAACATGTACAGTGAAGTTTTAGGTCAATTATTTGAACTTCTTGAGCCACCGTCCCTCTGTCAAATGGTGGAGGGAAAAATCATACCTTTCTTAGACTGTTGTTGAGCATTCTGTGAGGCAGAGCCCTGGTTCTTTATAACTTGTACATCTCTTTTATAGTAAGGTATCATCATTATAATTGCCTTGGAAAGTTATACCGGGCAAAATCCTTTCTTCCGAGGGTCTTTAAGAAGTCTGCAGCAACATTAATAACTGTAAAATTCTGTCAAGAGAATAATATAGGTGAAAGGAGGGTTAGGGAAAGAAAAACATGTTCATCTGACCATTTCTGGGAACTGAACCCGAAGGAGAGGATGTACACATGATATATGCATGGCCCCTGTGACTCTGAGCAGATACATGAGAAATAAACATGCCCTGACATGATAATGATAGCTTGGATTCATACAGTTCTCATCCAACCAAGACTTCAAAGTGCTATCCCAAACACTATCTCATTTGTCTTCTCAGCATCCCTCTGAAGTGGTGAAGACAGATACAATCATTCCCCAGTTGCAGACGGGAAAAGATGAGGTGTCGAGAAGCTCCTGCTGGCAGTGATGATGCTCTGACACAAGTCAGACTCTTCCATTCCCCATCCAGCATGCTCTTTGTTGAGCTCTGGTACACATGCTTACACATACAGAAACATGCGTGTCTGCTCACCAAGTTCCTTCAAAACCAATCCCTCCTCCGACCCTCCTACACCGTCAGCGGGAATGTAAAATGGTGTGGCCACTGTGGGAAACAATGTGGAGGTTTCTCAAAACACTAAAAATAGAAGTACCACAAGACCCAGCAATGCCACTCCTGGGTATTTATCGGAAAAAAGTGAAAAAGCCTGATTAGAAAAGATACACGCACCCCAGTGTTCACAGGTGCACTGCTTACAATAGCCAAGATATGGAGCAACATAAGTGTCCATTGACAGATGAATGGATAAAGCCATGAAAAGAATGAAATTTTGTCATTCACGAAACATGGACAGACTTGGAGGTGAAATAAGTCAGAGAAGGACAAATACTGTGTGATGTCACTTATATATAGAATCTAAAGTATACACAAACTACTGAAGATAACATTAAAAAAAAGGAACAGACTCACAGATACAGACAACAGACTAGTGGCTACCAGTTGGGCAAGGGAAGGGGGAAGAGGCAATATAGGTGGAGAAGATTAAGAGGTACAAACTATTCACTATGAAATAAACTATAGGGATATATTGTACAACACAGGGACTGTAGCAGAATCTTATAATAGCTATAAATAGAATGTTATTTGCTCAGCCGTGTCCAGCTTCTTGTAAGCCCATGGACTGTAGCCTGCAAGGCTCCTCTGTCCATGGGATTCTCCAGGCAGGAATACCGGAGTGGGTTGCCATTCCTTTCTCTAGGGGACCTTCCCAACACAGGGATCAAACTCAGGTCTGCCTCATTGCAGGCAGATTCTTTACTGTCTGAGCCACAAGGGAAGCCCTTTATAAAATTACAAATCACTATATTGTATACCTGTAACATATAATATTGTATATCAGCTATATACTTTATATATTATAAAAATATTGAAGCCTCATGTGACCAGACTTATTTAAAATTGAAATGAATCAAAATTCAGTGATGTCTGATGGGAAACACTGTAAAGACAGAAACTAATTCTCC